AGTAGAAAGAGAGAGAAAAGAAAAAGAATCTTAAAGTAGCTGTTCCACTTTCAGTCACTGGAATTACACGTTTGCGATCCGGATACCCGGAAATAGAAAATTGCTGAGTAATAATGATGTCCTCTCAAAATCTCCACTCACTCAGTTATATCCAGTTCTCTTTTCGTCTTTTCTTGGGGATCTTAAATTCAGTTTTCCTATATTTCTATATTTCTTCAGTTAAGGCAAACTATTCAATTGGACCAATACACCCTCGGATCAACAGTCAAAGACTTTTTCAGAGCTTCCAAAAAGTGTCTCCTTTTACACCGCGCTATCTCCGTTTATTTCACTTACTCCGATCTTCTTCTTGTCTCAAATCTTTCCCACAGAAAGTGATACAAGTCCCCCAGACCTTCCAGTGGCTAGATTCCCTTCGGCAAATAATAATGTAGCAAGTCTCACCAACCTCCCAGTCTTCTTTGCTTCTTTTGTTACTGTCCTTATTTTCTATCTGTCCAGCCCTTTCACTTTCACCCGCCTCACCTCTCTTCCTTAGCCGCTTCCTTTTAGGGCTCTGATCAGATTCTTTCAACAATTTTCTGTGGATCCACAGCGTTCGGAAAAAACTTCCTCACTTGCACCTTTCACCGTTGATCTCCACAATCTGTCTCTCACTTGCTTCCTTTCGTCGGTGGCAGACCAGACTTCGGGACCGCCAATAACAGAACGGCAGTTTCTTGCTCGGTGGGCTCTGAGTGGTTTGTCTTCGCTGCAATGGGAGTTGCCTTCCCCTCACTACAGCTCGAGTTTCCCCACACCGGCACGTTTCTCTCCGGGATTCGTGCACCCCGAGGGATCACACCAACAGCAAGAAGAGGCAAGAAGAACCACGAGCAGACCTCTATACCTCTGTTCAGCCCCACCTCACCACCGGAAGTCGTAACTGGGCCATTTTGTAATCTGCTTTTCTTACTGCTCTGTGCCAGTGATCGGCTATTGCATTTTTGCCTGCTAAGCAGTCTTTAAAAGCCTTGGACGTCTGTTAGCACCTCTCCTGTTTCTTTGGGCTTTCAATTTTGGGTCCCAGAATGGCAGTCATTTCAGAGTATGGCACATCTCCATTTATTGCCTCTATTTTCTGTTTTTTTTTCCTCAGGAACTCCTTCTCTAGCCAAGTGCAAAGCACTAAAGCAGAAGCAGGAAGAAGCAGCCGAAGTGGCTTCTCTTGATATCAACAATATTATTGTTACAGAAGGTAAAGTGGTGTGAAGGGGAGGAGCTGGCTAATATAAAAGTCCAGGTGCTTCATTAGGATGCTGGAATTTTTCCGGGGGAACTGACTTTGGAAAGACCCCCTCCCACAAGATGGCAGCCTGGAGAAATGACGAATAATACAATTCCATTCACCATCCAAATACATTGACTGGGTTCTGTTTTTATGCAGAGGTCAGGGTGTTTGTTTTGTTCTTATTTTTTTCCAATTTCTGAAATCCAAAGATGCAAATCATCCCATTTTTGTATAATTACACTAATTACCCTGCTTTGTTTCTAAAAGGTCCTCTTTTATTAAACCTCTCTTAGAGGAAATTGGAGAGGAGACCAAAAGAGCATAAGAAGTTAAGGGTGGTCCTTTAGCGGGAACTGTGTACAGATAGTCCTTGATATATGACCACAATTGGGAGCCGAACTGCCACTGCTAAGCAAGGTGGTTGATAAGAGAGTCACACCTTTTTTGGCTCAGTTCTTGAGCGAATCATTGCAATTAAGTGAATCACATCACTAAGCGAATCAGGCCCCCCCCCCCCCCCCAATTGATTTTGTCGGTCAGAAGCCAGCTGGAAAGTTTGCAATTGGTGAGCACATGACCCTGAGATGCTGCAATTGTAGGGATGCTGCAATGTTCATAAATGCAAGGACCGGTCATAAGTCTCTTTTTTCAGTGCCATTGTTACTTTGAACAGTCACTAAATGAATGGTTGTAAGTCAAGGACTGTCTATATGGTGGAAAAAGAAGTTCAAGATGGAAGAGGACTGGAGGAGGGTATAAGTGAAATTAGGTAAAGCACTAATGTAAGCAATGGAGAAGAACACATTGGTGCCACTCCATTTGTTGACCAAAGGCTGACTGGACTGACGGTTGAATTTTTCTTTAATGATACAACAACATCTTCCACTACAGGTAGTCCTTGACTTACAACCATTCGTTTAGGGCAGGGGTGTCAAACTGGCAGCCCATGAGCCAGATGCGTTATGCGCAGGCCACACCTACCCCGGCTCCGCGAAGGGAAGTCACAAAAGTCACGTGGCGGCAACATGATGCTGTGAGTTTGACACCCGTGGTTTAGGGACTGAAGTTACAACAGCACTGGAAAAGAGTGAGTTATGACTGCTTTTATATATACATATATATGTATATGTATATGTATGTATGTATATGTATATATAATTTTTTATTAAACAAAAAGAAAAAACATTTAAAAACAATGAACGTGGTGCATACATCCCGACACACCTGCTTATCTGATATCATCAAATGACAAATATATAGAATAATACAAATTTACATATATACATAAACTTTAGTCATCTTTGATACACTTATTCCTTCCTTTTTTCAGCCAGTGGTAAAACTTCTCCCAAATTTTATAATAATCAGATTCAGTCTTATTTTTTAATTCTTGAGTTAATTTATCCATTTCAGCGCATGTCCAAATTTTCCTGATTATTTCCATCTCATCTGGCATTTCATTACCTTTCCATCTTTGGGCAAAAGCTAACCTCGCAGCAGTGGTGACATGGACTATTAAGTATGTTACATCTTTATTATAGTCTCCCACATTAATTCCCAGTAAAAAGATTTCAGGTCTAAATTCTATTTTAATTTTACACATCTCTTCTATCCAATTTCTAATTTTCAACCAATATTGCTTTTTTGCAATTCCACCATAAGTGATAATATGTTCCAATTTCTTTATTACACTTCCAACATTTGGGGGATAGTTTTGGATACATTTTTGCCAATTTTGATGGTGGGATGTGCCATCGGTAAAACATTTTATATAAATTTTCTTTATACAGTGCCGCCAAAGTTATTTTTTTGTTTCTATCCTATAAGGTTTGCCAATCATCCATATTTATGCTATATCCAAAATCTTTCATCCAGGCCAACATTGTTTCTTTTACTTTTTCTTCTTCCAATTTTCATTCCAATAACACTTTATAATTTTTTAAAATCAATTTCTCATCTGTTCCCAATAGTATTTTATCTAATTCTGTTTTCCGCCTACTAATTCCCCATTCTTTCATATCCTTACCATATCTTGATTGTAGTTGTAAGTAAGCCCACCATTCTATCTCTAATCCCAGATCTTTCAGCTCTTGCCTCGTTTTTAACTCCTTTCTCATCTAATATGTCCTCATATGTAATAACTTCCCCCTGGCGAAGTAAATGTGGGTACATCAATGCTTCTAATGTGGATAACCAAGTTGGTATTTCAACATAAATTTGTTGTTTGGTTTTATTCCATACGTTTAATAGAGCCTGCCTAATTTTATGCCTTTGGAAGTATCTATGAACTTCTTGTTCGTCTTGCCACAGGAAGGCATGCCGCCCTGCCTGTAGGTTGTATCCTTCTAGTGTTATTTTTTTTTTATTCTTAACATTTATCCAGTCTTTAACCCAAGCCAAAATAGCCGCTCTATAATACAATTCCCAGTCAGGTAGGCCAAATCCTCCCCTTTCTGTAGCATCCTGCAACAATTTTAGTTTGATTCTGGGCTTTTTCTTCTGCCATATAAATTGTGACACTAATTTGTCCAATTGATCAAAAAAAAAAAATTTCCAATTTTACAGGAGCATTTTGGAAAAGAAACAATAATTTTGGTAGCGTATTCATTTTTATGGATGCTATTCTCCCCATGAGAGAAAGTCTTAAATTATCCCATTTTCTGAAATCTTCTGTTAATTGTTTAATTAATGGAATATAATTATCCTCCTTAAGTGTTGCACATTTTGCTGAAATCATGATCCCCAGGTATTTAACTTTGTTATCTGGATGTCCATTATCCTAGTTAAAATTTATTTTTGTTTATTTGTCATATTCTTAAGTATTTTAGTTTTTTCCCTATTAATGTTTAGCCCCGCAACTTCTCCAAATTCTTCTAATTGCTCTATAAGTTTTGGTCCCGAATTTTGTGGATCTTCTAAAATAAAAACCAAATCGTCAGCGAAGGCTTGTAATTTATACTCTTCTTTTTTATTTTTAATCCCTTTATTTCCGTTTCCTGATTGTTCTTGTTAATACCTCTAGTGTCAGAATAAATAATAATGGTTATAATGGACATCCCTGTCTCGTTCCTTTTTGTATTTCAAATTTATTTGTTGTATGACCATTTATCAGTATCCTGGCTTCTTGTTTGTTATATATTGTCGATACTACATTCGAGATTTTTTGCCCAAAACCATATACTTAATTTGTTGCGAAATGAAACTCCATTTTACATTATCGAATGCCTTTTTAGCATCCAAAAACAATAATGCTACCTGGTCGCCACTATGTTCCTCATAATACTCTATAATATCTAAAATTGTCCTTATGTTGTTCTTGAGATGTCTATGTGGGAGAAAACCATTTTGATCCATATGAATAAATTTGTTTAATATTTTTGAGTCTTTCAGCTATTATAGTTATGAAAATTTTGTAGTCCACATTTAAAAGAGATATTGGCCTATGGTTTCCTATATTTGTTTGATCATTTTTTTCTTTTGGGATGATTGTAATCATTGCTTCATTCCAAGATTGTGGAATTTTTGCCTCGTCTAAGACCCCATTAAATAATTTAAGCAATCTGTTAGTTACTTAGTAGATCTTGTTGAGTCTTGTATAATTCCACAGGAAGTGTTATGATATGTACAGAATAACCCTTGAGTAACAAGGATATGTACATGGAAACATTTATGAGAGTAGTTATGAATAATCATTCAGCCACACACAGCTACACTGAATTGAGTTAAAGTTTACTTTAAGAAATAGCACAGTCCAACAAACGGTCCAGGTCATATACGTTTAACAGTCCAAAGAATATCCAATTACAAAATCTTAGCGGTTGCCTTTGTCATTTACAGTAAACAAAGATATCAAAGTATAAGCACAGCATAAATACAACAGATAGCAACAGAATGTCAGAGACAGAATGTCAGAGAGACAGAATGTCAGAGAGAACAAGCCATGATCTCTAGCTCCCTCTTATGGCAATCTGCAATACAATCAACCAATCGGAACACAGTACAAATCAATACAGTGATTTTGTCTTAAAGCTACAAAACATACATTGTTGGTTTATATATTGCCAACTCAACTAATTGGTGGACAGATTCCTAACATTCTCCCCTTTGGGTAGGTCAATATATAATACATTACATCTTTAAACCATAATTCTCACAACACTCTTTATGCTTAATTGCACCTTGAGCTTTCGTGAAATGATCTGCAATATTATGTTCAGTCATGCAGTATTCTAACTGAATTAATTTATTTTGAACACACTGTCTAACGTTCAAATATCTCAAATCAGTATGTTTAGACCTTGTTTTAACAGCTAAATTAGTAGCCATACTAATTGCAGATTGATTATCTTCATAAACAATAAACAGATCACGTACAGTAATTCCAATATCCTTCAACAATTGTTTATAATGTATCAATTCTGTACACATTAATGATAAACATGAGAATTCCGCTTCCATAGTGGATAAACTAATATGTTGTTGCCTAATAGACTTCCATCCTATTAAAGCATTACCCAACATTACCACTATACCTGATGTTGACTTACGAGTCATTATATCAGTAGCAAAACTTGCATCAGCATATGCAGTTAACACTAATTCATTACTTGGTTCTAAATAAAATAAATAATGGATTGTGTGTTTTAAAAACCTAATTATTCGCTTAGCTGCTTGCCAATGCCTTTCATTTGGTTCAGAGTTATACCTAGCCAATTGGTTTACACTGTAAGATATATCTGGTCTAGACCAATTACCCAGATATGATAAGACTACCGATTAAGGATTGATATATTTCCTTATCAAACATAGGACTTTTGATATCACTATGTGTAAATTCCTTACTCATTGGTGTCTTAGCAGATTTACAATGCTCCATGTTATAGCGTTTTAATAATTGGCTAATCTTCTTGGCTTGCAAAATATTAAAACCTTTATGCGTTTTCACTATATTAATCTCCCCTAAATTT